ACCTTTGATCCTCAAACAAATAGACAAATAAAGCGTGCAAATTAGACCTTGGAAGATATTCTATGAGCATTTGTGGTGGTTCATCATAATATTTGGAATAAATACTTGATGCTTTTAGAATTTACTTATAATAATAGTATTTAAGTAAATATCAGTCATATACTATTTTTCTTTAATATCAATCAATATCCAATTATGTAAGTAATTTTCTATTGTCCCATCAATACAAATAACCTGACAATAGAAGAATTTATACAATAGTGTACAATGGCCTTACAAGAAGCACGATATTACCTCCTTACTGTATAGAATCGACAAAAGCAAAATGCGGATAACTACTAGTAACACAACATCTTTTACAAAAGTGATCAAGTGTTACTCTCTAATGCCAACTTGCCACTTGCTACAACAATCCAAATTCGTAAATTAGTACTTTGGTGGCTTAGATCTTTCTACATTTCTATACTGATTTTTGATGTTGTATATTACCTTGAGCTTCCGCCATATATTTGGATCCATCCAAACTTCTATATTTTGTAACTAAAAGAATTTCATATCCAGCCAAAGTACTTTTTAAATTGACACCAACCACTATGACCACCAATTATAGTTGATGACCAATAAGAATATGAAGTAGATAATATTTTGGAGCATCACTACCTTTGCCGTGGTAATTGATGTCCACAACTTCAATACGAAAATCTTTGGAAAGGTTATCCCATTTATGATGTAATATGGGAACCTCTACAAAATCTCACCCATTGCCAAAAGATAATTTGGAAATACGATTGGCAGCAAAATAAGGATGTTCCACATTAGTGGAAGGGAATTAATTATAACAGGGTATAGATAAGATATTTGTATAGAGATAGATAGTTAGAACCATGGAAGTATCTAGAATTGGGATTAATTTTGTAGACTAGGTAGGATCTACTATAGAACATTCTAGAAAGAATTTAGGGTAGTTGTTTAGATGGAGTCCACCATAAAATCTTCTAAAAAAGGAATTTAAGATAGTTATCTAACTAAGATCCACTACCAAGGAATATTTTAGAAAGTCCAAGGTTGTAGAATAAGGTATAAATAAAATTGACAAGGGCCTTTTGGGGCATTTGGTCAAGTATGGCTTTGCATCCTTTCTCTTAGTAAAATTTGGTTTTACATCTTTTTGTTTTGTTTTGTTTTGTTTCCGTTTGCTCAATTTTATCTTTTATGTCCTATTTTGTTTAGTTCCATTTAGTTTTGTTCAAGTCTATTTCGTCTTATTTTGTGATCAAGCTTTATATTGCTATAGATTAGAAGGATCTTGGATTTTTGAGATAGATTGGTCATGAATTATTTACTCTTGTTTAAGACTTTTTAGTCTTCTTGTCTTTTGTAATAGCCATTCTAATTTAATACTATATCATATTTGAATGATTTTTTAGTCTTTTCAAATGACATAAGAGTATATTGAAATTTTAATTTTTTAAGGATCATATCCTTGTCAGAAGCTCTTCTTACTCAACCAATTTTCAATAGCCTTGTTATGCTTCTAGCAATCCACTCAGTATCTATTTTTCCACCAATAGAAGTATTGTTTCTAATTTCTTCGTGCCATGGAACTTCTCTTCCCTATGTAGAAGCCATGACTTGCACTTGAACTTAGAATTAATGTTGCATCTTAGCAAGCATATTTAACTACGATGCCCTTTACCAACTCATTCTGCCAAGCCTTCTACAATCCCTAGACTCACCTCAATTAATACAGTACTTGTCCCTCTCTACCAATTCATCCACACAACAAAAAAGTGCCCCTTCCAAAGGACCCTAATAAAAATTATAATATGAAGAGACTCAAGCCATGCTCTAAAAAATCAAGATGTCTTCTTCATGCATTGATTTTAGTTGAAGAGGTCTCCATGAAATCTACAACTTATGTGCAAGCAATCAATCTTCAAGAGGCTTTCCAATAGAAGATGGCTATTGTAAAAGAATTAAATTCTCATACAATAAATTCTTTGTGGACCTTCTTCCAACTTCTTCTTCATCAAAAGTCCATTCATCCAACTTTTTCTTCATCAAAAGTCCATTACTTGCCACTGGATTTTTGAAATCAAGTTAAAAAGTACAGAGGCCATGGATCCCTTCAAAGCTCATTTTGTGGCTTCAACCAAATTTAGGATTTGGATTATCATGAAACATTTTCTCTTATTATTTGAATTCAATCCATTTGCCTTATTCTTGCTCTTACCATTCAACTTGACCTCCATGTACACCAAATGGATGTTAAAATTTCTTTTTTATATGGCTCTCTTCATAAGGAAATTTACATGAAGATTTAGGAAGATGTAATCCCTCCACAACTTGGAATGGTGTGTATTCTTCATAAAACAATCTATGGGCTAAAACAATCCTCCTGTAAATGGTTTAAGGTGATTAACACATACTAGGCTACTCTTGGATTTATCAATTTGACGGCCAATGGCAATGTATATTATCTCCGTCCCAGTTCCGATTTTGCCATCCTCACATTATATGTGGATGACACTCTTATTGCAAGCAGCAACCTTATGTTGCTTCACACTATTAAACAACAATTGCACTCTTGCTTCCCTCTCTCCGACCTTGGCAAAATACATCATATTCTTAGCCTTGAAATCACAAGAAACCATCAACATGGTTGGATCCGAGTTTCCCAACAACTTTATCTCACACAGAAATTGCTGGAGCTTGGATTTCTGGATTCCAAACCAATCTCCACTCCAATGACTCCTGGAACTCGGCTGTCCAGCGCCGACTGCCCCTCCAAGCAGGAAGACTGCAGCTCTATCTCCGCCGGACCCTGGCGCATTACATTGAATATTGACGCTCTTTTCCAACGCCCACGACACTATATGGGTTCAGTGACGCCAATTGGGCAGGCGAGCTCGATGGAAGGCGGTCCACTTCGGAATACTATTTTCTTTTGTCCTAAGGCGTAATCAGCTGGAGTTCCACTCGACAGCGATCGACGGCCCTCTCCAGCACGGAGGCGTACATTGCAATGGCGACGGCCGCCTCCGAGCATGTCTGGTTTCGTCACCTGCTCCACCATCTACACCAAACTTTTGAAATACCCCACTGAGATCCTTTGTGATAACCAGTCGGCTCTTGCATTGGTAGAGACCACCAAGTTTCATTCTCATCCGAAGCACATCGCAATCAGGTACCACTTTATTCGACAGCTCGTGAACCTCCAAAAGTTAAAGTTTCGTTATTGCTCCACTCACCACATGCGCGCCGACCTGTACACAAAGTCTCTGTATGGGCCGAAGCTTGCCCAGCACCTACCGTTAATGGCATTCTTGGAGGAGAAACCCCAGCCACATTGTGATACAGTTAAGAAGGCTTATTAGATTATAGAGTTACTAATATAGTAACTATAATCAGATGAAACAATAGGATTATCCAGTCGTGGAGTCGCGACTGTTCAGACGCAATTCCCTGGACTGGATAAACCATGTTCAAACAATATTATTATTAATGAATTAGGCAACTGTGATAGCTCAGACTTTCATGTAATTCTAATACTGAAGTGGCTCTGTATGTAAGCGAAGCTTATCACGTCTTCACTACGAACGTAAATGAAGCTGCAGCGTTATGCACACAGTAACACAAACACACACAGACAAACACACTGATTAGGTGAAGCTTTGCATTTAGAGCGGCAACGAAAGTGGGTCCTTCACCAGAAACATGGACTTCAGTCCACCTTGTTGAAGTCACATACTACTGTTGCTTTGGAATCTACGACTTGACATTGTGTTCTTCCTCGACTGGTTGAACTTGAAATTCAGAAGGAGAGCGAGTGAAGGATCCTTGGATGTCAAGTCAATTGGAATATGCCAATTAGGGCACCGATTTTGCACTGGAAATCAGCTGGCTACTGTTAACGAGCCCCAGTTGACGGGGGATTGGAGTGCTCCTCTTGCATGTGTGCAGTCAAAATATATCCTTGAGGATATGCTGTACTGTGGAAGTGTAGATGTACTGCTTAGTACAAGACAGTATATGACTACTAGTGGTATTGTTAAACATTCGATTTTTTTATATTCACATTGTCATCTTTTTTGGCTACAGTACCTTTCTTTTGTTGCTAGCACTGAGTTGTTGTTTAGTCCCTATATTGGCTCAGTATAATCCAAGCAATTCAGATCTTGCAGGTGAGTATGTAAGGAACAATCGCATGAAGCAAATCCCTTCATATTGAGAACACCAATTCAATTCCTCTCACAAACTAATTCATAGCTTATTTGGAGCAATCAGGAGCAATAACATTGCACTTCATCTTGGTTCTCACGATGGTAAGCTTTGGCAAAAGTTTGGTAAAACCCATCCTACATTCAACATCTTTCTTTGAGTTTTTAGCACAGATATCACACCGTGAAGAATTCACTAGCCTGTAACATAACCAGCTCGATTTCCTAGAAGATTATCATCATTTTCATCTTTTGATTTTGGCACATATTATTGATTGATCAAGGGCTGAATTCTCGTAGAACTTCAGTTATGATGGGGGCACGAATGGGTTGAGCATCATACATAATCCACTTTGCATGTGAATATCTGAATGATTTAAGATCATCCCATGTCAAAGTAAACTATATTAGAAATGCGTTTATATATCATTCAAGCCCAAATTCAATCCTAGACCAGTATCCAGAGAGAAATTTAAGAAAAACCAACTGTATTATCCATTAATTTAATCATTCTGTACCTCAATACTTTGTCTCAATTATTGCCTATAGTTTTACTTCGGATGCCAGATTTAGCGGAAATTGAACTAGGCTTTTTGGATGAAATTTTGAAATTCAATCCGTCATACGAAAACCTCACTCGCTGATCGGCAAACAGAATTCAATTCTCCCCGGATGTTGGCCCAAGCTCCCCTTCACTTATGCCATTCTCCAATGCGAACTGCAACAAAATTTGGAATGCCGGGTGCGAGACAGACACCAACAAGGACAAGAAAAACTATATAAAGAAAAACTGCTCATAATGATATGGAAGAGCCTTCAACGTTTGCACCTGACTGTTTGCGAATACAACAATTAATCCAATGTTTGAATCAGCTCAGCAATACCTTGCTTTCATACTGATTCATGAGCTCATAATTATGCACAATATATATGTTTTTTCCAAAATGATTCCTGACTCAAACTTGAGCAAGTGTATGCATCCGATAATACAGCTCGGATCATTCAGACTTGTGTATGAAGTCAGAAATGGCCTTGTCCACTCTTACGTTTTCTGCTTCTAAGGCAGGAATTTTGCGGAAAATGTGCGTGCCTTCAGGCACTTCAACCAACTCAACTTCCTTGCCTGCCTGCTTCAAAGCATCATAGTACTCGATCTGTCTTGTATACAAGGGATCTTTGCCACCTACAATCACCAAAAGTCTTGGAAATTTCACTTCCGCAAGTTTAGGAGCATCTGCAGAGAGAGGATTGCAGTAGGGATGGTCTCGAGTAGCATTTAAGGGAAGAGCCAACCGCCAGAATGTGTGATGTTTTCCAAGCGGTAGAATCTCGTCTTCAGAAACATTCTTCTCGGATTCGCTTATAGCTTCAGCACTGAAGAATGGCACAATTGGCACTATTCCCTGAACTATGAGTGGCTTCAACTCGTCAATAGGTTTGAACACAGCTACATGATGCGCAATGTTGCCTCCAGCACTTTGCCCCATGACAAACACCCTTGAGAAATCTGCATGGTTCATAAGCCATGGATCTCCAGCTTCCGCTTCGCCAGCTTGATACTTGCACTGCATAAAATCATTTTAGACATACTTACTAGCAGTATTGCCAAGCCTGGTAATATTAGGATAGCAGACACAAAATTGCCTGCAACTACCACAAGTCCTGCTAAAGAAAAATTCTTGAAGAAGTCATTTATAAATTGGCTATGCTAGACAAAGAAACCAACAACTAGTTTTGTAGTTCATGTAGCTCAAGGGGTTCACCTGCTTTTGGAGCCATGACATGGTAGTACATGCATCCTTAAAAGCAACAGGAAGTCGATCCTCAGGGGCAAGCCTGTAACTTGCCGATATTACCACAACATTGGAGGTCCTACACAGCCTTATGGACTGATAAGTGGGACTCTCACCGCCTGCAAAATGGATTGCATTCACAATCTATCAAATATCTGTGTTTACTGGTTCCGAAAGACCAAGATGTAGTACTCAGTCAGAAACCTGAGATTAAACTACCTAGAAGAATACACAAATACACACAGAGCGAGCGAGAGACATAGAAAGAGAGTTTAGAATTACAAATTCAAAACTACTTTTCCAAAAAAAAATCAAAACATCAAAAAATAACGAGACAAACCATCAATTTTAAACGCTCATTCTCTGTGTCCGATGGTAACACGAAAAAGAACAGAGGAAGCAATCACTGACCAATACATTACCTGCATTTCCCATGCAGAAGCCACCACCGTGATAGTAAACTACGAGTGGTAGCTTATTGGTATGATCACCGGTAACTGATTCTGGCAGGAACAATCGGCCCCAAACGCCTGCTTCTGAATCAATCACTATGTCCTTCGATGCTACATTGTTCACGAAAATAGGGGAAGATGAAACGTTGATATCGGTGGTGGGTAAAGCGTGGTCTGAATTTCGCACCACTGTTCCATCAACTTTAATTACCATCCCAGGAAGCACCTCGATGTCTTTTTCCTCCTCTTTTGATGTAAAAGTCGTCGCGGCAGAAATTTCCTCCAATATAGACCCCATCGCTACCGCGAGTGCAATAAGCTGAGCAAATACCTGCCGATTCACACCTCCGGATCGTCAGTTCGTGTAAGTGCATACACAAACCTCGGACTTATGCCCCAGAACAAACCCAATAACACAACAACATATAAAACTAAGCACATAACTTCATTATTAAGCAACTTTCAATAGAGTTCAAAAACCATTTGTATAGGAGACTTGTTGAGTGATATCCGGTTTACTTTGCGATAACTGATACTCCAACGTTGAGGTTGGGTCCAGAAAAAGGATAACAAGACATGGAGTTTATGACACATCTAAAAAAAGAAAAAATATTAACATGTCCTAAAGTCCCTGCAAGATAAACACTAGATTGCGGACCAAGGGCTTCTACAGTACACCACATACGATACTTTGAACGTTTCTGCATCTTCCATAAATTGTTAAAACGGCAATTACCACAGCAGTGCAACTGTTCACTCATTATGAAGAAAGTGTGAATCTATCATACATGATAAACTAATGCCAGGACTCCAATAATGAATTATGTTAGAATAACCAGATTTCAAAAAACCTCGTATAGCAACTTTGGTAAATTCGTGCAATCATGTCATACCAGAAAGCACGTCGTACTGAAACCACCAAATCACACATCGTAAATTGCACGAAACAGAGTCTACTGGAACACACATTAAGCTGCAACCAACGGTTGCTCAGCCCAAAGACAACGGACACAAACTTACTCCAACGGCAACTTCCCATACAGACGGCGACCTAACGAGACTGAAGCTCCCAAACTTTTCGAATCGCACACACAGAACCCAAGAATTCATTTTCATTATTTATTTATTTATTTATTTATCGTTAAATCCAAAACTCAGTGCGAACTGCACGAAACCCCACAATGCGCAATGCGGTCCTTCGATTCCCAACACTGGCCAAAAATAGGGACTCACATTCACCTCCTCAATAGATAAATCTAAAGGCACAGATCCATCAATGCGAGACCAGGGGATTCGTGACCCCAACTGAATGAAAGAATTGCAGGCACGCTTCTCATTCACTACAAGCTCTACTCTTACAAGCATAGAGGCAATGAAGAATCCATCCACTCACACAAGTTCTTACATCAATTGGACAGCGAAAGCGGGGCAAAGAGACCTGCACAATCAACACAAAGAGGAGGGGTGCACTTGACCTCCGCGCACTGAAAGCAACGCTCGAATGAACACGATTGAAGCCGCTCCAGTCTTTTCGTGCTCACCTTCTAAAGTGGGCCCAGACCTACTGTATGCCCTATAACCGTGTAAGGAACTAAAACTACCACAAAAGGCTTGGGAATTCTATATTGGTACCTGTTACTGCAGATTGCTTGTTCTCAGACGTCTTCAGCAAATAGAACGTTATCAATGTGGTTATATAGTGTGGAGGTGTGAATAGGTTCGGTTGAGCACACAACCTCCAACAATATGCAAGAGTTTCCTGCTCAGAACTAGGGTTTGGCTCTTGCAAGGAAGTGGAATCACGTTCGCCTGAATGCTTGTAGTGCAGCGTAGACTCGTGGCGCGAGTTTGGCATATGGCTGCGTTTCACAGCCTGAGACCTTCTCTTGTCTCCGTCTCGCAAGCAGTGATTTGTCGAGGTCGCAGTGTCGCTGAATTTGGGCGCCTGCAGGCGCATGAGGCAGCTTGTAGGGTGCATAAGGGGGCATGGTCGTCGTGTCTTCACATTTCGAGAGGGGCGGTGAGGAGTGTTAGTGGCAGTGCAATGACGCACAAGGAGGTGCAGGAGGAGGAGGAGGAGGAGGAGGAGAAGGGCGAGGTGTCCAGTAGTGGGAGTGGAGCCCCAAAGCGAGCTCCCCTTGTAGTGTTATCGTTTTATAAGTTCGCGGACCTGCCGGATTATGAGCAGATGCGTGCTCCATTGAAAGAGCTTTGTGAGACTAATGTGAGGATTAATATTGGGTTGAAGCTCTGAATTTCATGCCTTGAGCTATATTGTTGAATTGAGTTTCGATGCAAGCCCCTTTGAGAAACTCGTATCATCTAGTGTGGGGTTAGTACTAAAGAGGTAGCCATTCAAGGGTTATTCGTGCTAGTTATGAGAGATGGCTGATGGCCTGATGATTTGCAGTTTGTGTCAGGAGGTATTATATTGGCTCCAGAAGGAATCAATGGAAGTATTTGCGGGACACGAGAGGCTGTGGAGGTAGTTATGTCTGCTATCCAGAGTGATGAACGATTAGCTGGTCTCCGACGAACAGAAGCTCCTGCAGATCTTGAAGACGAAGAAATTCACCACGGTCACAGTAGCAAGTCTCCCCTTGGTGCCGGCGAAAATGCTCCTTTTAGATGGGATCACGTCCGTGTGAAGCTGAAAAAAGAGGTTCGTTTCTTTACAGACTGTGTGGAGAACGTCATTATGGACTAGCCTTGAATGCTTTTATGAAGTCTGCAGGGGGTCACTAGAAAAAGTAATAATATGCCCGAATGTGCGAAATGTTATGTACTTGTATCACATATGTTGTTGCCTATCCTGGAATCCTCTATTCATTGCGTTTTGAGACCTTCGTTGCCATACTATAGGTGGTATCGATGGGTTTACCAGACGTGAACCCTGCTAAGAAAGTGGGAAAATATGTGAAGCCCAAGGACTGGAACAAACTCATAAGCGATCCGAACACGGTATGTTTATGTAATACACCCCCAAATCCCTGTCGAATTGAGGTGTTAGTTATTTGCTTAGCGGATTATCGACCAAGTTTACACATTCGTGAAATCACAAATAAAGCACTCTTCCAGAAGTTGCAATCCGCACCTCTTTCTCCTGCCAACATATCCACTCATTGGAAGAAAAAAGAACGAAAGAAAAAATAAATGTTGGCGTATGGACGGAAATCTTGTCTCGACGTTGTCTAGTTCCTGTTTATTGTGTCCTTTCACTACTCATATAGAACTCTATGATCCGTTTCACACAAGACCACGGCAGGAACGTCTCACTACTGTCGCTTTGGATTCCGGTTCAGGTAGTTGTTGATGTCAGAAATTCGTATGAGATTCGTGTTGGGAAGTTCAAGCGAGCTGTTGATCCACAAACCGATTCCTTTAGGCAGTTCCCTGCCTGGGTTGACCAGAATCTTGGGTACAGTGATCATTCTGGCCTATCAAGTGGTGCTCACCAAGGTCAGGTAGAAGAGCCCATGCAGTTTCTAGACGAGATCAGGGATACTTCTTGCGAAGAGACTACAGAGCTTAGAAGTCCACAGCGAATCGCCATGTACTGCACAGGTGGCATTCGGTGTGAAAAGGCAACCTCATATCTGGTGGAGCATGGATTTGACGAGGTATGCACCATGAAGGGCCTCTTGACTATATTGTGCAGATGATGTAGATTTCGTTTTTAATGTCGCACTGAAAAACCTTCCAAGCCATAGCTGTTTTGCATGGAGCTGCCGTAACCGAATAGGTTGCAGGAGATTTCCTCATTTGAAGGTAGTGTATGTTCAGAAATGCTAGCTTTGATGACTTAAGATCAAATGGAAACTTTAACTCTCTTTGTTCAGGTCACTGCGCCTAAATCTTACCAATTAAACTACCATTCTGACTGAAGTATCCATTCGTTGGTTGACTTTATTATCTGTGCAGGTGTACCATCTGGAAGGAGGTATTCTTAAGTATCTAGAAGAGACACCACCATCTGAGAGTCTCTGGGAAGGAGATTGCTTTGTTTTTGATAAAAGAGTTGCTGTAGGACACGCACTGAAGCAGGGAACTTACAGGTTGTGCTATGCCTGCAAGGAGCCCGTCAACTCTACAGACATGGAGTCTCCACTTTGGGAAGAAGGTGTCTCATGTCCTTACTGCTATTTTAAGAAGTCTGAAGCTGAGAGAGCTAGAGCTAGAGCTCGCCATGAACAGTTTTTACATTGGGGAGTAATTGGGGGTCCAGATAAAGGACGCAAACCGACACAGTCAACTACGAACTCTGGAGATACCTGAATGTTCTCAGCACATCCCTCTTTAAATATCACAGTAAAGATTCTACGAAAGCCTCCCGGTTTTAGAATTTCAAGGACAAAAAAAGATATTGATCGTGCGTTCCTATCATGAATGCATCATCATCCAGACATTGCCCATGCACTGAATTCTGTCTCGTACCAGTTTTGACGAAATCATTCACTCATGAACCTACACTTCGGTCAAAAAGGCTAATACCACTCCTTCGTCAACTGCAGGGTTCGAACCTGCGCGGGGGAACCCCAACAGATTTCAAGTCTGTCGCCTTAACCACTCGGCCAAATTGACGGTGGACGAAAAATAGGTTTTACCAATCTTATGACTACTTTTCTTTACAGAACTGGCACTGCCATCCAGATGTTCAGCGCTATGACACATGATCGTCACCAGCAGAGGTCGAACCTGCGCGGGGGAACCCCAAGGATTACAAGTTTGTCGCTTTTACCTTGAAATCCCCTAAGGTTACGACAAAATGTCTAAAAAGAGCACTCAACGTTGTGTGCGTTGGCACGTGATATGTGACCAGTGGTTAGATGATAAGATGGTCAAAGGCCATATTTCAATCGGCTTGGAGAGTCGTGTGAAAGCTGTGTGTTAACAGCTGTACAATAGAGCATGTTTGTTGTCTAGTTATGGATTTGATATGCCATGTGTACCTAATGATTACACAGCGCCTGCTCTAAAAATGAGAAGAGTGGCTCAGCACCTGGGTTGATGATTTTGGTCTTGATGTTGATGTCGTCAATGTGAGCCACTTTGTGGCACGATTTGAAATGAGTTATTGATTCATGAGATTTGGTATCTCCAATCATGAAGTAGTCGTTGGTGTCTTGTTGTCGCTGGGGATGACGAGTATCAAGTTAGAAGCAAAGTCTATCCTCGGCCATCCAAGTTTTGGAGTTTTCTCCCTGTAAATGTTGTCATGTGGCAGAGTAGATTTTGAGTGCCATGATGCTGCTTTGAGTTTGTCGCTTTAATCACTTAGCCAAATTGACATTAAGAATTCTATAGGGAGGTTGGAAGAAGATAGAACTCCAGAACATCTCACGTATTACAAAACTCTGAATCTTCAAATTCTGGTAGGGCTAAAATAATCTGAGAGAATATTGTATAGGACAAAGGCTACTAGCTAGCCAGGTGGAAGCAAACCACAAAGCCTGCTCGAAAAATGAGAAGGGTGGCTCAGTGTCAAGAGCAATTATTTGCCTAAGTTCTTTTGCAACTAGATGACTCTAATAATTCTAATAGAATCTTAAATAAACTTTAATTAAAATATAACAATATGAATCAATTTTTAATTAAATCCAAAAGAAGTCTCAAGGACTTACAAAAGAAACATAAAGAAATTATAACTTAATCTTAATGAAATATATATATATACATATATATATATATATATAATAAAGGAATTTTAAGAAATATCAAAAATAGAAATCCTAATTGAATCCCAATCAAATTCTAATATAACCTTCAACAAACACTAATCAAATCATAAACAAATCTTAATAAAATCTTAAACAAATCCTAATTAAAACCTAAACACTAATCCTAGGTCAATCTCAATCAAATCCTAAATCCTAATCTTAGACCAAATCCTAATAAAATCCTAAATCTTAGCCAAATCTTATCAAATCCTAAATCCTAAACAATCCCAAACAAATTCCAAATAAAATTTAATCAATTACTAAAGCTATTTGAAACCTCAATAAATATTAATTGAATCATAGATCTTGACTAAAATTTTACCTAAACTTAAACTAACAAGAAATTAACAAGCACAAAAAATATGAAAAGAATCAACCTTACCTATTGTAAGAAAAGTTCCCAAAACTGCTCACTTGTTAGACGCCTTCCTTTTCTGATTTAAATGTTGATCTTTTAATATCAATTTTTCCTTGGTAAACTATTCAATCGCTCCAAAAATTAGATCACATGGAGATATTCAAGTCTTAATTTCTGTCATTAAATTTTGCTTCAATCCAACTAATAAATATTGCTAGATCTTGGAATCACTTATTGATCCTAAATCTCAAATTTCAAAGACCATAATCCAAAAAAACTCTCATATGCCTCAATCTAAATGCTCGATCAACCTCAAATTTTTTACATACATTTACAACAAGTATAACAAAAAAAATTCCAATTTTTATCCATACACACACTACAAAACTTACAAAATCTTGAAATTTATAATCTTATTTTTATTTTTTTAAATCTAAATCCACTAAATACATTATTAAATTTGAAAATCTCTCAAAATCTCAATATTAATCCAAATAATATGAAACCTATATTCAAAAGTCTCTTCTCTAATTTTCTCTCAAACACTACTTTTTAATTTACAAAAGAATCTTGGAGTCACTGTAGGTGTTTAGTTTTGTGTCTCAAGATCTGATTTCAATCCAAATTGATAATTGATCCTTTTTGGATATCAATGTGTGATAATTTGAAATAATTATTAATTTAGCCTATTATTAACTCTCTTCTAAACATACCTATATTAATTACTTATTTCATTTATTTTGATTTAGATCATTTATGCCTCTACAAAATAAATAGAAGTTCCTTCTATAAAAGCCAACATTAAGATTGAATTTTTTACTATCTTTTTATAATTTATTATTATTTTCTACTATATATTTTTATCAAGTTCTTTTATAATAACATCTATATTTTTTTTTCACCATATAGTTACGTTACCACATAATACCAGTGCCTTTCTTACTACCTCCATGACTTTGGAGAGTTTTTTTTTATATATATATATATATTGCATTGTGTCTATCCTATCATGTATCTCTTTTTCTATTATTTCAATGAGTCTAATGATTTGAGTAGAGAATACTAGTGAGGGAAGTATAGAAGTTGTATTGAGTAAGGATTGCAATATTGGATGATTACATTGATTGATAATCTAGATTATTAGGTGCCTACTTTGGTGTAAAGATAATAGAGTCTTGCTTTGAAGAGGTTTCACAATATTAGAGAGTGCGCTTTATGTATATAATGGCTTATATCATATTGTATGATTGTTTTGACTTAAAGATAAAATTCTAATATTCTATATTAATATGGATTATGAATTTTTACAAGTCAAAGAGAACATTTTTTAAATTAAAGGTTGCGTAATTGAAATTGTGGCTATATTTTTATACCTAAAGATTCTAAATTAGGGTTGTCTTTAAATTTTTTTTATGAGCATTATTATTCATGGCACATTTTTTTTCTTTAAATTTTGAAACAATTCTAAGTATTGACTTGTAATGATTGGTTCTTAAAAGGAACTATAGATAATACATGTCTAAGTGGTATTAAAGTCCATGAGACCTACCTTATGTCTGATGTTACTAAAATATTCTTATAAAAAAATAATTATTGTATATGTCATTATGGCATGTTGTGAGCCTAAAATCCACCACTCCATGGAATTAGTACTACACAATGAGCTCAAGAGGTAGAATGGAAGAACTCCCAATTGTGAAATTATTAAATTAATTTAAATATGGATATTTGTAGTTCAATTAAAATTAATGCCTTTCAAGAAATGATTATTAATATTTATTTAAAATATTAAATAAAATTTACTATATAAAAATAATAAAAATAATAAATTAAATTATTACTATTTTAAGAGTAAGAATAAAAACTTAAGTTAAAGTTAAAATTTAAAATTAAAATTTAAAATTAAAATTTAAAATTTAAAATTAAAAGTTAAAATTAAAATTAAAATGTTAAAAGTTAAATTTAAAAGTTAAATTTCATAATTAAATTTAAAAGTTAAAGTTTAAAGTTTAAATTTAAATTTAAAGCTAAATGTTAAAATTTAAAAGTTAAAAGTTAAAACTTAAAATTTATTAGCCGAAGGTTAAAATGTAGAGATTATAAGTCATTGTTAAGATAAAAGTAAAAATAAAATAAGAAAGGTAAAAATAAAGGTACCTTGACAATGTCCAAGGATTGAATGCAGCAACCTTCTTCTACTCCAAAATTTTCCAAAAATTATAACTGACTCTAAATTGAATGATTTACAGTTTATTGCAAGGTTAACTTAAAGGTTCTCTTTTTTCAACAAATTTCGTTGCAATTCAATGATCTAGTCATGAGAATTATTTGTTTGAAGTTGAATGATCCAAACTAATGTGGCGACCAACCCTTTTTACTTAAAAATTTGCTCAAGTTTCAAATTATCTTCAAATCCAACGAAACTTGTGCCTTTCAAAGCTTAGCTTACAAAGCTCAATGCTCTCAAAATTTTAATTTTATCCAGAAATTCCTTCCCAAACTCAAAACATCCAAACTACAAAGCTAGTCAACTCTCTTGCACTCAAAATTTCATCAAAAATTCAATTTAACTCCAAATTGGGCATGCCTTATCTTGTTGAAAAGCTAAAAATAAAAGATACAACTACAAGGAATTTCACATTGAAACTAAAAAAATTGAATGACTAATTGGAAGAAATCCGAGGCTCTTGAAACCCTCAGAATACTTGGGAGGCCAAGGGAGCTATCTACTACAATAAATCATGTTTTAAAATCCAATGACTATCATTCACAACTAAAAATCCATGCACATCGACCCACAAATTTCATAATAAAATTTAAAAATCTAAATAAAATTAAGATTAGGATTTTTGGCCAAATTTTGGCATGGTTTTGCCCTTCACCAAAAGAAGAGAGAAAGCGAGGGCTTGGAAAGCCAAGCCTCTCTTATACAATTGAGTGGAGGCTCGTGGAAGGGTGGATGCATAGCCACCCTTGATTTCTAAGATCTCTAATCTAGATCTATGGCCTTCATTCATCCAAAAGCTAATTTCGTTATAAAGGTTGATGGCTGTTGTAAGTGGTTAAAAAAGCAATTTTTGGTAAATCTAATTTCACCATTGTATTCAAAACACCTTTTTATGCTAAGATTATCTACTTACATGCCTCCATCTATATTTATTTGTAATTTTTATGAAAGTTTTTACTTCTAAAGATTTTAGCAATTATTATAAAATCCATCAAAAATAAAAAATTTATTGCTCCACTTGTATGTTGGAGGAGAAGGTGCTGATCTTGTTTTCTTCACTCCATGGGGTGAATCCAATGCTGCCATTGCATTTGAAAGCTTTCATTAATTAAAA